AGCATATGCTTTGGCCTGCCGACGTGAGGACGTCAACTCTTCTCGGTTAGTGTTAATTCGGGGAACGGAACCCAACCGAATTGGGATTTGAGGAGTGTGGTCGGCGTTGGGACTCTCGAAGTCCCTATTTCTCTTTCCACTCTTTCCAAGTCGGTCATCAACCGACCTGGATCCTTCTGCCCCGAACATGAATATCTCCTTTTCTCCTTGTTGTAGACGAATTCTTTTGGAGTTCATTGCGTCTTCGTCTTCTTCATCTCAGTCAGGAATATGAGCTATTTGCCGCCTTTCTTTACCTTCATGTTTGGTAAATTTTCTCACTTGTGGATTTCCTATCAACTTCAGGAGAGCCGACAATAGACTTAAACATTCATCGGTGTTGTGACCTGGAGATCGGTGGTAATCACAATACCGCGACTTGTCCAACTGACTTTCGGGAGTCTTGACTGGTCGGGCTTCAGGAATGATTCCTTTTCCTTTAATCTCTTGATAAACCGTCGCGGCACCGACCGAGTAGATGGATCAGTAACCTGTGGTTAAATCTTCCTTGTATTGTCTCCTGGCAGCTTTTATGTCGGTATCGTTCAGTTCACCTTTATAGGGTTCTCTGAAAGGTAAACTCTTGGACGAGTTACCGAGATGCTTCTTTTTCTTGTTTTCAAAAGTTGGCTTCTGCCCTTTTGATGGGGAGAACTCAAAGTTAGGAACCGACATGGACTCCTCGGCAATAACATGCTGTTGAGCGCGAACAAGGAATTCTTGAAAGGTGCTTGGTTTGTTCTGACATAACGCCCAACGAAACATGGATCTTGGTTTTAATCCTGAAATCGCTGAGACAAGGAGAGTCTCAGGATGACAAGGTTCCATGTTTTGCACGCGTTCATTAAAACGTGCAATATAGTCTTTTAAACTTTCATCCTTCTTTTGGACTATGTTCGTAATTGACTCCTTAGGTATTAAGCTAATTTGGGCCCCGATGAAATGGGACCTGAAAGCCGATCTGAGTTGACCCCAACATCTGATCGATTCAATCGGTAGTGAATAGTACCACTTCTGAGCTTTAGGACCTAAGGTCAAAGAAAACATACGACATCGTAGAGCATCGTCAGCACCATGCAAGTCCATCCATGACGTATAATGTCCGAGGTGAGCATCAGGATCAGCGTTTCCGTCGTAGAGGCCAATTTGGGGGACCTTGACTTTTCCAGGCAATGGACCTCTGGTCAACTCGGTTGCCAGAGGAGAACCGACTTCCATATAGACATGGCCTGGTTCTGACACGTGAGGATGTTGATAAGGCCTGATTTGAGGGGTTTGTCGAGCTTCCAACTCTGCCACCTTCCTTCTTAATGCCTCTACTTCGGAAACATTACGTCGAGCGCAACGATTACGCTCAATCTGCATTCTCAGGTCAGCCGAATTTTTGGTTTGTTGAAACAATGAACGAACTGCATGGGGAATCCTGGGGACATGCCGAGGATGACTTTCAACATGCCGGGGATGGCTTTCAGCAACCATCTCTGGTTGATTCATTTCTGGCTGGTTCATTTCCGCCGGCAATACGTTGTTCGCCGGTGGAGGGGGCAGATTATTGTCACGTGGCTGTGAAGTGGCATGGGACGCCGCTTGATTGTTGTTATCCCTTTGTATGGGAGGACCTTGCTGTCTCGCCGGAGTTATAGGGGCAAAAGGCTGCCCTGGTATCCTGTGTGATGGCCCCGGCATGGTTTGGGCCAACAAAGCAGTGAGTCCACGAGCAAATTCCGGGTTCTGCATGAGCAGGGTAATGTCCGGCATCACAGGTACTGGATTATGTTGACCGGTTGGCGGTTCAACAACACGGACGGCGCTTCCCATGGTTGTCGGATTATCCTGTCCAGACTGCGACATTCTTGATTCTTGAGATGTGGTGTGTTTATTTCGAAAATTAACTCCAAATATCTTATGGAGCCCCCCTTCCTCTAGCGCCAAAATGTTGATAAACGGATTTAATCAACGTAATTAAAATAAAAATCACAATAAAGATTACAGAAAATGAGATTTCGATTGAAATTCTTGAAGTCGGTTACAGAATTTAGAAGTCGGTTTTTCAATGTTTAACAAGTCGGTAAACAAAGAAGAAACCGAGTTTAATATATATGTGTTTATCAGATTTGCCGAATCCTCCTATTGTTTTCGAAGCTGCTATTTATAGTTATGCTTGGCACACTTCCCTAGACAAATCATTTCCGTTTTAATGAAGATTTGACATCTTAGGGGCGGCGATGACGTAGATGAACTTTTTAGGTAATGATTAGCATGGGCGCGCCTCTATCTGTGTGACGAGTGTCACATCTGTCGGATCGAAGTCGGTTCGTCTTGCGATGTCGGTATTTTGATAAATTTTCAGCATTCTACGACTTCCTGATAAATTATTCTTCAACCGAGTTGGTCTTTTCAAGGTTTCGACGACTTGTGTTGACGACTTTCGAAGATTTGCGGTACCATCTAC